AACAACTGTTTTAAACCAAGGTTGCTTATTACTATTAGAAGTCCTAGCTTAGGCAAAACCACAAACCATTAGGAAAGCTGCAGGATATAGATATACAAGTCATTTACAATTGTATACACCAGCAACTAACAGAACATTTAAAAACAATACACATATTGGCCAGGCACAGTGGCTCACGCCTGTAATCCCAGCACTTTGGGAGGCCCAGGTGGGTGGATCATGAGGTCAGGAGATCAAGGCCATCCTGCCTAACATGGTGAAACCCCGTCTCTACTAAAAACACACACACACACACAAAATTAGCTGGGTGTGGTGGCCAGCGAAAAGCAAGAAGTAGTAGCTGGAAGCTTCTAAGAAATATCCTCAAAAAATACTAACCGCCATTTGTTTCACACACATCCACCCCCGCTGTGCTGCTTAGAATGTAGATGAAATGACTGGCGCTCCAACTTGGATCCTGGGAATGATGGAGACAAAAGCTGGAAGCAGCCTAGATGCCAGATGACTGCAGAGCTGACCAAGCAGCCCAGGTCTGCCTTCTTCTACATAACAGCCATTATTTGGAAATCTTTGTTATTTTGGATCTCCATTATTTGTAGAGAAATCTAATCAAACTAATAAATGATCTGATATCCAACTTCTAATTTTTGCTACCAATTGCTATATTCTCCAAGAAAAGTACAAATGTTGCCTTATTAATTCATGTTCTGGTTCTGCTTCTTCTCAATCTCTCACTGACACACTTTGAAATGCAGTGTTTCATCAGCTCTCTGATTTCCTTTCACAGCCCACTTTACTGTCGCTTGTATCCCTTGTTTATTCAATTCCTCCTCTCCAGCTAAGATGTCTCAGTCACTTCTGTCTTCAATATAACTTGTAAAAGGAGGCTGGGCACGGCGGTAATCCCAGCACTTTGGGAGGCCAAGGCAGGAAGACTGCTTGAGGCCAGGAGATCGAGTCCAGCCTGGGTAACATAGTGAGACCCTATCTCTTATACACATCTAGATGTGTATAAGAGACAGCCTATAGTCCCAGCTACTCAGGAGGCTGAGGCAGGAGAATGGTGTGAACCCGGAGGGTGGAACTTGCAGTGAGCCGAAATCGCGCCACTGCACTCCAGCCTGGGAGACAGAGAAAGACTCCGTCTCAAAAAAAGAAAAAAAAAAAAAATTCCAGTTTTAGCAAAGAACCCTGCTAAGGCAGTTTAGCAAGAACCTCCTACCCTTGATAACTAATCACTCTCAGGTTTCTCATCCTCCACCATTCCCCAGGTGATGTCTGATCACCCTGACCTGTCTTCAATGAGAATCCTATCAGGTAAATTTAGCCAGAATGCCCCTGACCCCTGATGCTTCCTCACAGTAATTTTCCATCCACTGGCCCTCACCTTGCTCCCTGGCTATAAATTCCCACTTGCCCATGCTGTATTCAGAGTTAAGTCCAATCTCTATCCCCCATTGCAAGACCCGATTGCAGTGGTCCCTGTATCTCCTGCAATGGTGCTAAATAAACACCGCCTCATGCCTTAGCAAGTATCACTGAATAATTTTTTCTTTAACAAAACTAAATTTCACTTTGGATAGTAAAAAGAAACTGTTATAAATTTAATAAATTACTAATTATTCTTCCTACTTCCTCAAAATATCTCCATTTCCAAAAACCTTTTTGCATTATTTTCACTCATTTATTTAGTCTTTCTTTGCTTTTGATCTAATTTAGAGGTTTTTTTTGTCTGCTTTACTTATTAGAAGCTGTAGGGTGCCAGTTTTAATGTTCTTATTGTTCTCTTGTACTTATCACTACTATTATCTTTTTCATTCCAATTTATTTGTGTTTAATAGTTACTATATTCTCTTTCTGTTCTAAGTGTAGATAAGAACTCCTCTCTGAATTGTAGTTGTGATTCCTGTACTTGTTGTCTAAGCATCACTGTTACATTAATCTGCTTTCCTGGTTTTGCTCTTTTGACCTAGCAAACTTGATTTTTATTTGTTCCAGGTAATTTCATGGTATCATAATGAGTTTAATAACAGAAGTAACTGTACACTCTTATAATTTCCCAAAAGTTCCCTGATGGAGACAACTAAAATTCCACAAAAAAATCCACAAACCATGAGAAAAGGGCAACGTAAATAGCCTCAAACTTTACTTCTACTTTCTTTTCAAGATATTTGAGCAGGAGCCTCTGACTTTTCTGTAACTGGAACTGCCCAGAGAAGCAAGAGATGCCACCCCAACAGTAAATAATTGGAAATTTCTGAGCAAAGTAAAGGTTAACTTTCATAGTTAACAACACAAGAGATAGAACTGTGAAAGCCTGCTGATATCTCTATTTTCGACAACTTCTATAAGTGTCCCTAGGCCATCTGGTGACATCTTCAAACCTTGAAGGCTACCTAAATATTTAAGTATTGTAATACTACGTAATACTAAGTATTAAAATATTTATTTTAAACAATTTTCCCAGAATAAAAATGTTTAAATAAAAAGAAAAGCACACAGGATGACTGACTCTGGGTGATAAATTCTTCATTATATTGAACATGGGATATTTACAACTTGGTACTATGTAATAATTTTGTATGTTTCTGCCTTATTCCCCAATAAGCAGTTTTTGAAAGTAGGGATTCAATCTTAAAAAAAGAAGTATGGCTGGTTAGGTATAGTGGCTCACGCCTGTAACCCCAGTACTCTGGGAGGCTGAGGTACATGGATTGCCTGAACTCAGGGGTTTGAGACCAGTGTGGGCTCTACCAAAACTACAAAAAAAAAAAAAAAAAATAGCTGAGCACGGTGGTGCGCACCTGTAATCCCAGTTACTCGGGAGGCTGAGATGGAAGGATCACTTGAACCTGGGAGATGGAGGTTGCAGTGAGCAGAGATCGTGCCACTGCACTCCAGCCTGGATGACACAGTGAAACTCCGTCTCAGAAAAAAAAAAAAAGGAAATATGGTCTAGTTTAGACTCACCTCAACCAAAGCAGTTCTTGTTTTATATTGGAATTCTGGGTAAGATTTTCTTTCAAAAACGGGTTCAAATATTATTTTGGTTTAAGTTTTAAAAAGCAATTGTAGCCTACCAGAAAATACTAAAATACCAAGTGTTGGTAAAGATGTGAGGCAACTAGAACATGTTCATCTACAGTACAGCCATACATGAATGATAGAGACACTTTGGAAAACTCTTAGTATCAAACACACACACACACACAAACACACACACACATACACACACACACACACACATACCCCTTGTCATCCAGCAATTCTATTCACTGGTATATACCTAAAAGAAATGAATGCTATATCCACCAAAAGTAATGTACAAGAATGTTCTCAGCAACTTTTATCTGTAATAGCCCCAAACTAGAAAGACCCCAAATGCAAAAATCTTGGAATAAGCATTAGTAGCTTCTACTCATGATTGTGACACGTTAATTTTTGACAAAACATAGAGCCTTTGAGGGCCTCCACTCCACATACTGAAATGCTAAGTAAGGTCTCTTTGCTTTCTAAAATTCATTAATTCCTAATATAATTTCTATGAATTTTCTTGGCCTTTATGCTTACCTTAAATATAGCAAGTATATACACAAGATGTTCTCTACCTGATTGGCACCAAAATTTAACCTAAGCATATCTCTTTAATCCCTACTAAAGAGGCTGGTGGTCTAACAGCTCCTTTTATATTAGTAAATGTAGGTGGCATCCGTGCCGGGCCAACATACAAGCACAAAGACTGAAATACCTAATGCAGGTGATTAAAAATCAATTATAGTCTATTATCTGGAAATAATAATAAACTGCAATCAGAGTAGCCAGAGCTGAAATTTTCTTTGAATCAATAAAAACAACCTAGAGCCACTACAGTGATGGTATGTCATAACTTATACTCAATAATTGAAAGCTCGGTATAGGCAGGCAGCTGTTCCTTTGAGATTATCTACATAAGAAATCTATTTACTATACAAGTTCTATACAGCAAAAAAAAAAAGGGCACACAAGGAAAGTATACTGTTTTTTCTTTTTTACAGGGGTTATATATTACTTTGATAAATGAAAAAAAACAAAAATATAGTTAATAGCCAACTTTTCTTCATGAAGAGATGCCACCTGAATTTAATAGTAGTTTCCATTTTTATATCCTCATTCCAGGTATATAAGTCATCAAGACAGGTGGGAGGGTATACCAGTTGTCACTTCATAAGAAAAGCAGCAAAATGCTAAAAATCATCATTTGAGAAGTTTTGAATCCAAGGAACTTCTTGTATGGATTAGGCTTCCAAATTTTGGAGATCCTCTAGCCTTTTGTAAAAAATAAGACAGGTTATATCCTTCAGATGACAAAGGAAGCATGACACGTAGTAAAATGCCATGGAGAAAAGCACGACCTCATGGAGACCAGGGCACACATATTCGAATTCTGGTCTTGTCATCTAAATCTGAACAAATTGTTTTAATCTTACTGTGACTCAGTCTACTTGTCCATAAAATGAAGAGATTAGATTAGATGATGCTTTTATTTTTCTCTACCACTAAAAATTTCAAAATGCTTATAATTCACTATGTGCTCATTAACATGATATACGCACTTCCTGATTTTAACCTTTATCCACAAAAAAGCCGACTATCCTCATTAACAACAATATCTAGAAATTAGAAATCAGAAGCCACTAAAACTGAATGATGAACATTAAGGTCTGAGGCCTTGAAGAAGGCTTTTCACCACCTGTAAGTTGGGTTTGTATCTATCAAACAAATAAGAGGGCCACAATATATAAATGAAAAAATAAAGTATAAATAAGTGAAAATCCATAATAAACTAGTAGAGAATTAATAAAAAAAGAAACCTCATCAGTGAATCTGTATCTGTTCCAGAAAAGGTCTTCAGTTTCTATATATACACACACAGGTACATACACACATATATACATAAAACACATACATACATATTATTAGCTAAATATAGAGTCAAAATAAAAAACGTGTCTTCTACTCACTTTGACAGAGACACTCCCCCAGCTTTCCCAATCATCTCTTCATGGTGCAACACCGAATGGTTCCATGGAATCTGAAGGAACTTTAAGAGTGTTCTCATCCATCGTTCAGGATGTAAGACAAGTTGTTCATAGTGAACCAACATGCACTTTTTATAACCAACCTCCATACACTGGTTATACATGGTCTCTATAGCACGATTCCACTTGGTCAAACAGTCCCTATAGCTGTTCAGGTCAAATCCAGCTATAGTAACTTTTCGAGAAATCATCGAATGTACTGATGCCCGGCCGTCTCGGACCATCAGGAGAAATTTGGCATTGGGGAATAACCTAGCAAGGTAAGTTAAAGATTTCAGGGCAAAAGGATCTTTATTACATAAATAAGGGGCTGGCTCCCCATGCTTAACAATGATTTCTAGTAAGAAGGCTTGCATGGCAGAATCCAGCACTTCATCAGTAACACCAGCCTCATCCAGGCGGATCTTCTCTTTACTTGACCGTGACCACATCTGCTTCAGGGCCAGGATTCGGGGAATGACCCTGGTTTCCTCTCCACAGCGAATGTCAGGATGTGCATCCAGCATGGCCCTCATGAGTGTGGTTCCACTCCGAGGCACACCTCCAATAAATATTAAAGGCATATCTTTGTGATAGGCAAAGGTTTTGTTGGCTTTGAGGTCCAGGCCAGTTCTCACAGTGGTCCTTGTGCTCTCCAATTTGACTGGCTGGCTACGTTCCTCTATCCGGTGATGGCATTCCATGGCATGTTGGCCCAAGTAAAACACAGTCACAGAACTAATCACCAGACATGCCAATAGTAAGTTCTGCTTCAGCTTTCCAACCATCTTGATGTGGTTATCTTGTTATTAAACAGATATTTTGCTCAAAATGATTTTCGGAAAATGTTCAGGCCATGGAGAGTCTACTTCAGAAAGATAACCAACGTCTAGTAGAGAAAGGAAAACGTTATTTTATCATTACATTGAGATTGCTTACAAATCAGTCACCAGTTATCACCACTGCATTTTAGGTAGAAAAAAGCTGAAACAGTCTTGGATTCTCTGATATTCTTTTTTTTTTTTTTGAGACGGAGTCTCGCTCAGTCGCCCAGGCTGGAGTGCAGTGGCGCAGTCTTGGCTCACTGCAAGCTCCACCTCCCGGGTTCACGCCATTCTCCTGCCTCAGCCTCCCGAGTAGCTGGGACTACAGGCACCCGCTACCATGCCCGGCTAATTTTTTGTATTTTTAGTAGAGACGGGGTTTCACTGTGTTAGCCAGGATGGTCTTGATCTCCTGATCTCATGATCCACCCACCTTGGCCTCCCAAAGGATCCTCTGATATTCTTAAAACAAATTTGAGCAAAATTTGTTTTACTCAGTATATACAGTATAGACAAATTTGAGTAAAAATAAATCAATGTCTATAACCGGAAACAGCTTTTGTTAATGCAGTAATTCTGAAGCTATGTACCTGGTAAAGAATGGAAAATAAATAAAACTATTTCTATCAGTGAGTCAACCAAATATTTAATAAGCCCAAGAATGCCTGGAGTCCAACTCAAGGCTGATCTCTGCTATTCAGACTTGCCTCATCTCCAAGCAGTTATTAGCTCCACATTCTAACAATGAGAAATTATAGAAGAAACATGAAACAACTTCCAAATCTTCAACAGAGATTCAGTTTATTATCCCACAATTTATTTAGGTACTACAGACCAGATACTCAGGCTCGACTGAGGACCAACTTTGAAAAGGAAAACAGTAGAGTAACCTCTGCTCTTGGAAAACAAAGTCTTTTGACAGATATGTAAACAATAACAATAAAATGTGATGAGTGCCTCAGTGGAACTATGCAAAGGGACAATGGGAGCATAATGAAAAGGAGCATGTAATTGACCTGAGGAAGCTGTAAAAGTTTTACAGAAAGTAGGATCAGGTAAAGGACCAGGTGCAGGTAAAGGACCAGGTGCAGGTAAAGGACCAGGTGCAGCAGCTTACACCTGTAATCACAGCTCTTTGGGAGACCGAGATGGGAGGATCGTCTGAGCTCAAGAGTTCGAGACCAGCCCAGGCAACATACTGAGACCCCGCCTCTTTAAAAAAGAAAAGAAAAGAGAAGGGAGGGATATTCTAAACCAAAGGAACTTGTGTGCAAAAGCACAATGGCAAGACAGAACATAGCATAATTAGGTGACAGGAAGAAGTTTAGGAGAGCTGTTGTATAGGCTGCAAAGAAAATTGTATGTATAAATATCTGTGATCTAATCCTCAGAAGGACAGGTAAGATCTGGACACAGGAAGCGCTCTAAGCTGCAGGTACACTACCACCAAAGGCATGGATGTGCAAAAGCAGAAGCATGTATGTGAAACAGCTGGAGCTGCTAGTTTAGCTAGAACAAGGGTACACCGTGGGAAACAGACAGCAACCAGACTACATCTATACCAAAATAATTTACCCTGAATCCTCAGAAGGCAAGTGTGGCAGTTAATTTTATGTGTCAACTTGGCTAGGCTTTGGTGCCCAGTTGTTTGGTCAAACACCAGTCTAGATATGGCTGTGAAGGTATATTTTAGATGTGATTAACACTTAAATCAACAGATATCTAGTAAAGTGGATTACCCTCCGTAACACAGGAAGGCCTCGTCTAACAGGTAAAGGTTTTAAGAGCAAAGACTGAGGTTTCCTGGAAAAGAACTACATCATGGAAACCCTGCCTGTGTGTCCAGCCTGCTACCCAGCAGAATCTGGAGTCAAGCCTGTGGCAGGCCAGGTCACTAACGCAGGCCTCCATAACAACTGTTTCAGTACTGACTGAGTGGTTCAGTTCAATATTAAAAGCTAAAAAAAAAAAAAAGCCAGTGCTGTTATACAACGGCTGGAACGTAACAAAAGCCCACCAAGAGTTTTGCCTAGGCCTTTCCTGGGCCTTAAAGCATGACAAAATAACGAAGGAATTCTTAACAGGACCCATTTAGGATTAAACAAGTTTTATTGGGGGTCTGAAGAAATTCCCCAGGCCTCCACAAACAAGTTTATTGGAGGTCTGAAGGAACACCCCAAATCTCCGTGATTTAGCAGGAGACAAGATAAGGGTAATCACCCCAGCACCTAGACCCATTTAGATTAAGTAAACTTACTGAGGCTCCAGAAAATGCGCTTCAGGACTCAGACTTTAGTTACAGATTAAAATAAGTTAATCACTTACATCTTTAGATGAATGCACACTTACATGCAGACATATAGGTTAGAAGGTACATAAGCTCAGAAAAACTTTGTAATTTTAAGTTGGTCTGGTGATAATTTCCAGGCCTCCCTGTAATCGGTTACAGAAATAAAAACTCTCTTTCTCCCCAGTTCATCTGCATCTCGTTATCGGGCCACAAGAAATAGCAGCCTGACCCTCAATTTGCTCTGGGAACAAGACTGCAACATCAACTCATCTCTGCCCAACTGCCCTATGAATTTCAGACTTCAAAGCCCCACAATCACATAAATGAATCCCTTAAAAATCAGTCTCTTTCTCTCTCTACCCCCGACCCCTCCCCATATACACAGTAGGCATGCGTGTTATCTACCACTCTAAATTCAGTGAGATCCCTTCCAGCCCACTAGCAAAGCAGCCAGTGCTAATGGTTTGCCTTGCCCTGACTACTGGTTGTTTTTCTATAAAACCCTAACACAGGGGTTCGGTTTGTTTTTCTGGAGAACCCTAAATATACCTGGGGAAATGACTAACTACACTAAAAAATACATTCTGAGAGGGAAGACTTCCAGGTACAGCCTAGTGAGAAGGTAGTTAATTCCTCTCCCCAAAAACCAATGATAAAGCTGGGTGAAATGGGCAAAACAACCCTTTCAGTGCTCTGGAAATCCACCAGAAGAATACAACAACCTGAGAAGCATTTATGCTTGAAAACCTGCTAAAAGGTAGGTAGAACAATGAGAGTCTGTGTAAGGTTACTCCCACCTCATCTACCCATTCAGTAGGTACAGAGGTTCTGCAAGGCAGAGCACGGCAAGGCAAAACATTAGGACTGACAGTTTTGCTGCTGGGGTGGAAGGGAGTTTGCTTGGTTTGGAGTGGGTAAGAATACACATGCCCACCTGCATTGTGAGTAAGAGATGGAGCAGGTGGGAGGTGAGTGAGAGGGTGAATAGCTCTAGAAGGCGAAGGTTGCAGTCCAGGTGGGGCACATTTGTTGGCCAACCCTGAAGTGGCATGCAGGCACAGAGGAGACATGAAAGGACTGGGTGGAAAGTAAAAGACAGGGCAGATCTGAAAACAGCATAAACTTTGTATGTGCTCCCTACCCACAGAGGTCTACTGGCAGAGGACGAACACCTTACTGGCTCAAAATGTCTGAGGCAACCACTATCCAAGCACTGGGTGACCACTGATCACTAAGCTATGCAGACAGGAAGGCAACTCCTAGAAAGCTATGCTTAAAAATGAAAACAATTATAAAGTGTGTGCACACTTTAAGTATATATACTTAAATAAAGTACATATACTTTATACTATATATACTTTATATAGACATAAACAATCCTAAAAGTGTGTGTGTATATACATATACACATATATATGAGAGCAACATCAGCATACATTTAAATGACGAGGCAAATTTATAGAGACAGCAGAGTGAAAAAGCAGGGATTTAAGTGCAAGCTTACATGAAGGAACTTTTTGCAGTGACTGAACTGTTCTAAAACTGAACTGCTGTCATAGTTGTACAACCCTATAAAATCTACTAAAAAATTATTGAATTACACCCTCATACTTGTGAAAGGAAAATAAATATTGGGGCCCCCAAATCACTAAGCTAAAGGGAAAAGTCAAGCTGGGGACTGCTTATGGCAAACCTGCCTCCCATTCTATTCAAAGTCATCCCTCTGCTCACTGAGATAGATGCATATCTGATTGCCTCCTTTGGAAAGGCTAATCAGAAACTTAAAAACATGCAACTGTGCGTCTCTCACCTATCAGTGACCTGGAAGCCCCTTCCCCACTTCAAGTCTTCCTGCCTTTGCTTCCAGCTGTCCCACCTTTCCAAACGGAACCAACGTACTTCTTACATATACTGATTGATGTCTCATGTCTCCCTAAAATGTATAAAACCAAGCTGCACCTCAACCACCTTGGGCACATGTCGTCAGGACTTCCTGAGGCTGTGTCACAGGCGTGTTCCCCAACCTTGGCAAAATAAACTTTCTAAATTAACTGATACCTGTCTCAGATTTTGGAGGTTCACATACTATATATATAAATTACACTTCAATACAGCTTTTTTTTAAAAAAGGAATTCATTACTAGAGAAACACTTCCACAGTCTCAGTAGAATACAACAACTAAGAACTGGTTCTTGTTTATTCATGTGTATGATTTAATCATTCATTCAATATATGTTTGAGCACATAGTTTTGCGCCAGGCACTATATAAAGCTTCAACAAAGAATCACAAAGACTGGGTTGAGATTAAAATATCAGCTTAAAAAACTGCAAAGAAAAAAGTATTAAGACAATTGGTGGCAATATAGCATTAAAATGTCTATGCACAACATTGTATCCATTATAATAGAAGACACACTTAAGATGTTATCCTAATATTCAATTTAAAAGGAGCCAGGTAGAAAGAAAAGGAAACAACAGCAAAAGAGAATAATGTAGAAAACAGAGAAGAGTCATCCTATTATACAATAACATTTTGGTTAAAGAAAGTAAAACCAGGCTGGGCGCGGTGGCTCAAGCCTGTAATCCCAGCACTTTGGAAGGC